ATTTTCTGTGAAATTCCAACTCAATTATGTTATTGAATTAGGAATGATTCTGCTTTAGATTGAATTTGTAAGCCCCAATGCATGCAGAGGGAACGCAATGGTAGCGGTGGCAATTGGGTGGGTTGGGTTGGGTTTGGTTTGGGTTGAATTTCAATCTAACTCATTAATGGCCCAGTTATATAAAATTAAATGGGTTATCAAACCCGCTTTAACCCAATTTAATCCGTCCAAAATCATTAATCTTATATTTATGAACTTAAAAAATAAACGAACTCTCTTTTAACAACCGAATTATCTAACCGGTTAGATCAACTTGAACTATCTAATTGGATTATCTCTGAGCTAATCACATCAAGGATAATTGAACCGTTTAGATTTGGATCAATCCGGTCGAACTGGACTGGACCGGTTTAGTCAATGGTGGATTGACTTGGAACGGACCATATCAGGTTTGCGCACGGGTTTGGGACCGATCCAACTTACCCGAAGTGGGTCAACGTAAGTAAATCGGATCGGTTCAGATTCGGGTCGGTTGTGTGGATAGTGGTTGGCTGGACGGTCCCGACTGGGCAAAGCACGCTAAGACCGAACCATCCCACCTGAAATCGTTCCGAATTCAGGTCGGCTTGTACCGGATCGGGTTGGATTGTGTGAGTACTTGTTGGACCGAATGACCCAAAGCGGGCAGAGAAAGCAGTAACGAATCATTTGACACAAGGTCTATTTCAGATTCTGGTTGACCCGTATTGGTATATGTCAAGTCGAGTCAGACCGCGTTGAACTGGTCCGAACTCGGGTTAAATTAATTTGGATTTATATTGGGTGAAGTGTATTGATTCAAGACAAAACTAAATTTAGTCAATAATTAATAAAAAAATAATATATTAATTATAAATTATTTAATTCAAATGAAAAAAATGCTAAAAAATTAATACTCATATCTGTAATAGTTATAGTATAGTGGTGAGTATTCCCGCCTGTCACGCGGGTGACCCGGGTTCGATCCCCGGCAACGGCGACTTATTTTACTTTTTCAGGTATTGGGAAAGCTCAGAAAAGTATATAAATAATTTCTATAAATTAACCACAGGCTATTAAAATTGTCTTCTTCACCTAAACCGAGTATAGTGGTTAGTATTCCCGCCTGTCACGCGGGGGACCCGGGTTCGATCCCCAGCAACGGTGGCTTAATTTTACTTTCCTAAGGAAAGCTCAGAAAATCATACAAATAATTTCCTATAAATTAATAAGAGATTTTAACGTTTTCTTCTTTATCCAAAAAAATTGTCGTTGCAGTATAGTGGTGAGTGTTCCCGCCTGGCCCGGCCACGGCGTTACTTTCGTTTCTCGTATCCGCCAGATGCCATTAAAACTTAAGGGCTATTTGTCGTTTTCCATTTTTTAAAAGCTTCGAGGGAATCTTTTCTTTTTTCCATCACATCCTGCCTTTATTTTCGTATGGAAATCCCTAGGAGGGACCTTGGGTCAGGAAGTACTGGATCAGCTCTCTAGCGCTCGAATTTTCTTAGAGGTTGAAAGCTCCTAAACATGCAATCCCACTTGATTCTCTCTGGTTTATTTCTGCTGAACCCATCATCTTCCAAAGAAAAAAAACTAGCAAGTCAGCACCTACTTAATTATATCTCCTTCTGTTTTTCCAATTTTACGTAGTTATAGCAGATGATTTAAGTTATCTATGATTTTCTTCTACTAAAATTTAGTGAACACCAATACATGTGTTACTTTTAGGCTACTTGGTAATATTAATTGGTTCTTTAGCTTTTTACTTACTTTACTTGGTAGACAACAGATGCCTTAGTGTGTTGTTGTTTCCTTGCTAACTTTTTCACACTGAAGTAGACAAATAGAAAGTTGTAAACATCAGGGCTGTCAAAACGTCTACCCAAACTAATAAGATAATATATATACTTGCACCCAACCAAACCAAGACCTTATAGGTTCTGTAAGCATTAGACTCGAACTGACCTTATTGTTGATTGGGGTTATCAGCTCTGATCCAATAAGACCGAATTATGTTTATAAGCCATTAGTTTGGTGTTTTAATGAATGTTTTAAAAATCGACCCAATTAAAGGTTAAATCATTTTTGCCTTTTGGTCATGGACCATCATAAAAGCATTTTATCAATAAATAATGTATAACTGTATTTTATATTTTTAATTCAATTTATATTTTTAATTTTTGAAAACATTAAAAATGATAATTMWA